TTATTAGAGAGATATCGGAAAACCGAATAGCGTCATGTAGTATTTACGCGTACCTTATCATGGTTACGATATGCGCGAGTCAATATTTAACGCAACACCCGCTAATAACGTTACCGCCTGACGTAATTTGCGGATCAATTACACCAAATTTATTTCTAAATAACGTTTAAAAATTGCTTAAATGGGCATGTGCGGGTATTTGACAACCGGGACCGGCCGGCGAGATCTTTTATTTTAGGTTATGTTTGAATTGTTTTGAATTATTACTTTTAGGTAATTTGATATTTAAGTAGCGGGGATTAGTTTTAATTAAATAAATATGGCTCAAAATATGGATTCCACCTCTTCCAATATTAAAGAACCTATAAAGAGACTTAGGTTTACAGCAGATGACTTAGCCCTTCTAAGATAATTTGTTGCCCTAAACCCATTGGCAGACGTTGACCAATAAAGCACTGGAAATAAGCACTTTAACCCTTTTGTTTTAAAATACCTAGTAAACAAAACAATTTCAAAGTTTTAAATTCAAAGTTAGGTTAAGTTTAAATAGCGGACGCGACGCGAACAGAATTCTTTCCGATCCGATAACTATAAATGAAGAGAGTTAATACCACTTCACGTAAAGGAAATAACACCTGGCCTTATTAACGTCCATGCACGCTATTCGGTTTAGCGATATCTCTCTATTACGTTGTTTATTGTTATTTTAAGCGAGTTTATTTTTGCGCACAGGAAATTTTACTCGTTTGCACATCGTCATAAAAAACAATTTTCGTACCACGAATTAGGGGCAAGATTTTTATCTGTATACATATAGGATACCTAATCTGTGCTTTAAGCTTAAACATTTTTACTAGCAGACCTTGCAGTCGAAAATTGTTCTTTTTAAAACCTCTTTTAGTGCGAAGTATACAAGAAAACTTAATAGCCGTAAAAAACTCATCAACTATATTAGAATATTATGAACGGTAAAGTGGTAGTAATGGCTCTTTATATTCCTTAAACGCTGTTAAGCAGGTGAGGTTTATTGATGTAAATAATAACTGTTTATATATTTATAATTTATTTATATTTGTCTCCTAAAATATTTTGATTAAAAGAAAATATATCAAAGTGGGCAACGCTGTGCCGATCAAACTTAATCACGTGTCTAAAAGTTTATTTGCTATGAACTATACATTCTTACGAGGTTACTATTAGCGTCAAAAAAGTAATATTAAATGGGTCTAATATTGAATTTAAATAATTATAAATGAAAATGCAAATATTAATTTTTATATGAATTATTTAAATTTATATTTTGTAGTTGTAACATTAAATGAGAACTTATAAACCATTGGTATTTAGTTATAAATCACTCTTATGTTATAAACAATAACAATAAAACGTTAACTTATCTCCTCAGTCGTAAACGAAATCAGTCGCATCTACTTAAACAATTTTATCTTAATACAAATAAGACATGAATTAAAAGTATATCGAAATTATCCTGGTTTATTTTAAATCATATTTATACCGGGTGCGTCTCAAAAGCGGCTCACCCCTATAACTTTTTTATTTTCTCTATTAAAAAAACGAGTTTTGGTGTGTTAGTATATGGCATGAATTAGGATTGATTGACGTATTCAATTATTTTCGGTCACTTCCTGTTTCACCGGAAATGACTATAACTTTTGATTTTTAAATGGCACACTCTGTATATTTCTACTTTATTCGATTGCAAATGATATTCTGAATAGAGTGACGTATCATATGTAAAGTTTTGGCATTTTCGCATATGGTTAATTTGAAATTATAAAATTTGACTCGGAATAGCAAGTGTGTGGTATCAAATTATCCGTGAAAAAATTCTTTTTCCAAATTTGATAATGATCCACTCTCGTTCCATTTGAAAAAATTGAGAAATGATTAAAAATACGATTTGGGCGTTTTTTTACCGACCAGGACAAGACACTAAAAACATTAGACGATCAAATATATTTTTCTAAGGTTCCTTGATTAAAAATTAATGTTTTTAACATAGCCATAGCACCCTAGATTGAAATATAAAATACGATTTTTTTTAAAGCTCAAACGTCAAAAGTTGACATATAATATGTCATTCTATTCAGAATGTCATTTTCTATCGAATAAAGTGAAACAATACCGAGGGTGCCATTTAAAAATCAAAAGTAGTAGTCATTTCCGGTGAAACAGGAAATGACCAAAAACAATTGAATACGTCAATCAGTCCTAATTTATGTCATATACTAACGTACCAAATCTCGTTTTTTTATCTGAAAATATATAAAAGTTATAGGGGGTAAGCCACTTTTGAGGCGCACCCGGTATAAAATGGGTATAAACAGTGAAAGAAGAGGTAACAGTTGCATATACGGTTTTTGGCTATTTTTGTATTTTATGGAAAAAAATTATATACCCACATACTATTGACCTTAGAGATTGCAAATATGCTGGGGGAGAAGAGAAATTGTGTTTCTTTGAGTATTTTTTCAACCAAACAATTAATTGTAACATTAATTTATTTCTATTATTACTTCCTTCTTTATTATTATTTTATTGTTTATTTGTTTTCGCCCCTTCCTTTTTCACTAATTTACTACGACATAAACATTATAATATAATAAAATAATATTATTGTTTAATTTTAATATTTCTTAATATATCGAATTTATAAAATACAATAATAAAGTAAACTAAGGCAAAGTTTCCTGATAAAACTCTATCATCAATACTCAGCTTAACAGGTGTTCGGGGTGACAAAAATTAAGTACAGTTCATACCAAATCAACTTTTAGTCACGTGATTAAACTTGACCGGCACACCGTTGTCCACTTTTATATATTTTCTTTTAATCAAAATATTTTAGAAAACAAAAATAAATTAATTATAAATATATAAACAGTTATTATTTACATCAACAAAACTCACCTTAACAGCACTTAAAGGACATTAAGGGCCATTACTACCGCTTTCCTGTTCAAAATATCTTAATAAAGTTGCGATTAGTTTTTTTTACGACTATGAAGCTATCTTGTACAGGGTGGGTCAAATTCGACGCTTTTAAATGGAAACAACCTTTTCTATAGGAGATAGACAAAAACTAATATCGGTGTCTGGAGCTCAATTTTTGTCAAAAACATGACGGTGAAAACCGCATATCGATATCTGTTACCGTTTCGAAGTTACGGGGTGTTTTTCGAAAATATGCATTTTTAACAAATCGCTGTAAAATTTTTGCTATGGAAAATTTTGTATTTTTATGAAAACATTTCCAAAGCACCTTTTTACGTAGAATTTAATGGTTTACGTATAATTTTTTTAAAATTAATAATTTAAGAATTATCAACAGAAAATTTGATTTTTTATATGGGACACCCTATATATTTTTAATTTATTGAAAAGAATTTAAAATTACCTTTCCAAAAATATAACATACTTGATATTTTGCTCGATTCCTCTTCGAGATATAGAGTATATAAAAATTCCCCCGCTTTAAATAAGTAGGCTTTGGACCCCTTTTATTGATGATAATATGTCCTTAATGGAACTCGAAAACATATTTTTCCAGCAAGACGACGCACCGCCTCTGAACGCTGAAGTTATCAGCAAATTTCTGCAGTCAATTTCAAGAATAATTGAATAGCTGACCAAGAACCCAGCCGCTGGCCTGACTTAGTGCCCATGGATCTAATCTTATGGATATATTTGCGGAAGAATAAAGGTTCCTTATTCTTCTGTATAATCTAGACAAGAATTAGAAATACTTAGCAGTTATGAGAGGGTATCTTTCACCCCCACTAGGTTAATGAATTCCGCAAGAAATGTTCAAAAACTGCCCCGTCTGTCCATAACAGAAGACGGTCGATATGTCGAACACCTGTAGCAAAATCTCATGTCCTGGTTTGCTATTTATTTTTATTGTTGAGATATAGTTTAAATGTGTTGATGTTGGTTAAATATATTTTAAATTGTTATAAAATTCTGCATCTCTCATAGTAAATATTATTTTCGTTTTAATTGATGCTCACAGCTAGAATTTTTTTGCATTACAGCTGGTTGAAAAGCCTACTTATTTAAAGCGGGCGAATTTTTATATACTCTATATCTCGAAGAGGAATCGAGCAAAATATCAAGTGTGTTATATTTTTGGAAAGGTAATTTTAAATTCTTTTCAATAAATTAAAAATATACAGGGTATCCCATATAAAAAATCAATTTTTCTGTTGATAACTCTTAAATTATTAATTTTAAAAAAATTACACTTAAACAATTAAATTCTACGTAAAAAGATGCTTTGGAAATGTTTTCATAGAAATACAAAATTTTCCATAGCAAAAAAGTTACAGCGATTTGTTAAAAATGCACATTTTTGAAAAACACCCCGTAACTCCGAAACGGTAACAGATATTGATGTGCGGTTTTCACCATCATGTTTTTGATGAAAATTGAGCTCCAGACACCGATATTAGTTTTCGTCTCTCTCCTATAGAAAAGGGTGTTTCCATTTAAAAGCGTCGAATTTGACCCACCCTGTACACTTTTCTCTAAAAGAAGTTCTAAAAAGAAAAATGTTCGACTGCAAGGTAAACATTTTCAAGCTTTAAAGTATCACAACACTATTTTTTTAAACCAAAAACTGGCGTAATACAAAACTAAAGTGTCAAAACGAATGAAAATGTCAGGAAATAAATAAATAAATGCGGCAACTTGACATTTTTTACAGCAGAGCAACCACCTGAATCCCCAGCGCGAAATTTAAATTCCAGTTAGACAGCACGGCGCCAAATATGTCCATGGTTGGCAACAATGAATTTAAAAATCGCGCCCTCAATTACGTAACTAAAAGTTTAATTGATATGAAATATACAAAGAAAGTTTGTTTTAAGTTTAACAGAGCAAAGTCTGTGAACTTAAACCGCAGGTCTTTTTTCATATTTCTTAGTTTAATTTAATTCTTTAATGTTAAATTTTAATAATAAATGTTTAAAACAACGTACCTGAATCCAAATCATGTTTCCAGCTAACAATAATATCCAGAAAAAATAAAAAGACACAAAAAACACTTCAAGGTATCTAACACACCAAAATATCAATTGTTTAATTCAAATCTCCCGCTTAATTTCGTACGTGAATCGAACGAAACTATAAACAAAAACAAACCTCGCTCCTGATCGTCTTCGATATCGCGACTTCTGCCCGAAGTCCGCGGCGTTTTTCGATAATAGCCCCGTTCGCTAGCCGGCACACGACTGACTGACAACACTGAATATTCAGCTGTTGGAGCGTCCGTCGCGTGCGTACGGGGCCTGATAACGGCGGCAGCGTCGAAATTTAATACCGCCGTCGCGACGCGCAGCGCCGGTGTCTCCGATACTTCGACTCCCCCGCAAAAGTTTATTTTCGAAAAAGACGTAGCGCCTATTTTGCGAGAGTCGTCGTGTTTCAAAGTTGTTTGTCTCGGTGTGATGTTGGTTGATTTGGCTGGCCTCGTGGTTGGGATAGGTTATGGATGTTAAATAACACATACAACTTAACAAGTATAGCTAGAGACGTGAGAAATATAAAATAACACGCCACCGGTGCTATCCCCAAGTCTCTTCCTATATTTGTTCAACTGTACTAGGATTCTTCACGAACTTCCATTATCTTTATCAGTGGCGGCTAGTGGTCATTTTTGTAGGGAGGTCAATATCTAAAAATATTGCGTCAATTTTTTTAAGACGCGCCCAAATTTAATAATTGGTTTCTTACAAGATACTTGTAAGAGATCAATTATTAATTAACGGATAATAAATCTAAAAATAAATACTAACCCCCGGTGTTTTCAGGTAAGGATAGCGTGTTATAATCTGCCAGATATATTTTATTTGACGGATAGCAGAAAAACGCGTATCTTCACCTATAGATAACAGTATCTATTGGATAAATTAAACTTATCTCCCAGATATCCTATCTGGCGCCCGAACTGCCAAATAGTGCTTTATTTGTCGGATAAAAATTTGACGCATGAGCAAAGGCATGAGGAGATATTGATTTTATTTGATATTTGACAAAATTACTGAACATAACCAAGACATTGTTCTTATTGAAGATTTCGTTTATTCCAATAAATTCGATTTTAGATTATTTGGAAAAGACTTACCTATTCTGAATATGTAGACTATAATCATTTTAGAACGTATGGGGTATAAACACCAATAAACACATTGAAATGGTGCAAAAAACTATTGTTGCTAGTGCCGGACTTTATAAGGACTGTTAAAATAAAGAGAGTCTCTGTTCTGTTAGAGCATCAGAACGAAGAGAATGCATTAAGTTAGGATAATAGTGATAAAACAGTAACTTATAAATTATTTTATTTAAATCCATTCAATTATAAACCATTACTACATATTATATAAAATGCTAATGTTTATCTGTGTCGTCTCTACTGTAAGTAACGACTTGCTCTAGAAAGTTGCTTTTTTTTCTAAAAGATAGCTAAATGGCTCTTCTAAAAACTGTCGTCGCCGGATTTTTTGTTTTTCATTTAATTAAAAAAAAATAAAAAGTGCTTCTTTTTCTGATCTCGTGGCGGATGCGCCAGCCTTCAACTAGTTTTTAATAAAGCTCTAAAGTAGGTAAAAAATAAATAAAACTTTTTAAATCAAACTATTTATTTCATTTTTAATTCGCATATCTTAATTCATTAATATTATAACAGGAACCTTATAAAACCTGTTATTTAACTCACATTTGCTTTTATTTCTTTTGTGTTACAATTTTAATTTAATTTCTTGCACTATGTACCTTATACCGTATGATCGAAAAAAAAACGGCGTCCAGTTGGCTGGGAAATGATGATCGATGATATTTCCCTTATAAATTTACATAATATGAAATGACAGCAATCTTTATTTCATAGCCATTGCTGACGCCGTTTTTTTCGATCATACGGTACGTCCCTTCTCCATGCTGTTTTTTAAGTAACTCTCTAGCTAAACCTTAATAAAACATCTGTATTGTGGTCCTTTGAATTCCAGTTAGTTCAACTTTGTTTAGACAAGATTTTTCCTTTATTTTTTCTTTTTTTTTGAAGTTCCATCACTTGGAGTTCTTAAAAATAAAAGTAATATGACAAAATTATTTAGTTTTTTTTATTAAATAATTTGTACATATAATGTGTAAATGTAACAATTATTACAGGTACTATTCATTTATTATTATTAAGACAAAAGTATAAGTGCATTTATCTATTTTATAAAATAAAAACTCACCTTAATTACTATCATTGATGCTATCCTACCTATTTCTTTACTATGAGAAGCCCTAGAACAACATATATTTGTTATTACTAACAATCTTATGCTACTTTTAATTTTCAATATTAATAACTTACCAGATGGTGGTTTTAGGATTGGTTTATAAATCTCTGCTTGCACTTCACCAGCTTCTTCCATATTTTCTATTATCAATTGTACTAAAATGTTAATATAATAAATATAACAGTAATATCATGTAATTAAACTATAAATTTGTTACAGATTATTTTTTCTTGTTTTAATTTCTTATAAATCGCATTCCATCAATAGATCTATTGCACCACCACCACTGCTGAAATTGAATTATCTTTCCCTTTTTCCATAAGGGTAAATTTAAATAGCCTATACCATAATAGGACTAGTTGGAGTTGAACACAAAATATATTTTAGTTGAATTTTATTGTTTTTATTTTCATTTTGACGATCTTTTGACAACTGAACAATAACCTCACTTTTTAATCTAACGATTTGAAATTCCGAGTTTCGGTCTCTGTCTGTTGTATCGACTTTTCATATATAACCATCTCAATTTTCAGATATCTTATATTGGCAACACTTTCTCTACGGAGTGTCTACCGGTCCGTAGGCGGCCGTCCTTCAAATTGTTATCTATTGGATTATTTTGTATGAAAATACCCAAATGTTATATCCTATAGATATCAGGCTCTAGATTGTTTATCTTTTAGATGGTTATTTGTTAGATAAAAGTTATTTATTTATAACTGAAGAGACCGCGCCTAATTATGTTAAAATGAAACCTACCTTTACTTTTTTAAACAAATGCCATTTTTTTCTTTTTTTTAGTGCCGTTTCACTAAAAATACTAAACTAAAGAATAATAACAGAAAAAACTAAAAATTTTCCACGGTAGGATTTAAAAGACACTTAAATAATAACGTCAGAAAAATATAAATACACATACACATTTCTAAAAATTTTATTTCACATTTTTTTATATTTTATGTCAATGCGGCGTTCTTTCGCTAAACGTTTTTCAAAATTTAAGCAATTGTTTTCTTTTAACCGCACGATTTTACAAACTAAACACCATGTTGTCTATTTGAAGATATCTATTCCAGAATCAGTCAACCAACAGTTCATCATTTATCCATAAACAGAAAATTATGAATTATTACCTACCTTACACAAACTTCAACCCCTCGGCTACGAAAAAGCCACAACAACTAAAACTAGATCGGATTTCTTTCGATATTAAAAATTTAAATATTGACTAAATATGATAAACGATACAAAAACCTAGGTTGTTTTATAATTTGAGTTTTTAGAAACACCCAAACTGCCCAAACGGCGAAATTTTTCCAGCGATATTACTGAAATCCCTTTATGAATGACGCGGTCAATGGCCAATATAAACTATATCTATCGCACCTCAGCCCATTATATTTTCTATACGTAGTATACCTTACCTTGTTGGCGTCACAAGCCGCGGCATGTGGACTTTAATACATGTAAAACATAGCAGAAACGAAGGACAAAATGAAATTTTGACCGGCAGTAGAGAAAATGGGTAAAATAAAACGTTTTCATGCGAAAATTGGGCAAATTAAAGATTTTTGGGAATAGTTTTGAATATCTTAGGACGAGGGGAAAAAAGGTGATTTACAAAAAGTATAATTTAACTAGGTTTTTCCAATTTTCTCCTGATTTTTTTTGGGGGGGGGGGGCATTGACCATTTGACCTCATTGTTAAGCCGCCACTGGTCTTTATCTTATGATTTAGACGTTTTGTAAACCTCTCCAAAGAAGTCCTATGGATATTTTGCCACTGTAAGAAAATCTACAAAATAAAATAGTTATTTTTTTGAAAACACAGCTGCATTAATCCAACGGAGATTAATTGTTAGCAATGGTTTGCTAATAAACAAATTTGCCTAACGGACAATAAAATGTTTAACGTTTCGGGAAGTATATCTCTCCCCGTCGCTCGTCGGAAGCCGAAAAAAAAAGACATAAAGAACAAAGAACAAAAATAATTTAAAATATCTAAATGCAACGATCCGATTAGTTCCAACATCAGTGGCAAAATATGTCTTTTTGCCGACGACACACAATCAAATGAGTTAATCACCATTAAATCTTGGTGCGATTCGAACCTCCTGAGTCTCAACATTTCTAAAACTAAAGCTTTGTCATATAAAAACTCGCTGCAGCCTTTTGTACTTAACAACACCACCATTGACGTCGTAAAATCTGTAAAATTCTTAGGGCTTATTGTGGACAATTCTCTGAAATGGGACATGCATATCGAAACTTTGTCGAAAAAATTGAGCTCTGTCCGTTTTGTGTTGAGATCTGTTTCTAAGGAGCTTAACTTGTCAGTGGATAGAACTGTTTATTATGCACTTTTTGAGTCGCACCTCAGGTATGCCCTTCCATTCTGGGGTACGTGTTGTGCGAGTCAATTTGACCGCATTTCCAAGCTCCAGAAGAGAGCTGTTCGATATTCACTGGGACTAAATAGCAGAACTCATTGCCAGGACTTTTTTAAAAAATTAAAAATATTAAATCTTCCTTCCTTATTTATATTTGAATCCGTTTGCGTAATACGTAAGCATGTATCAGCTTCTCAAGAAAGGCTATCTCACACTTATCCACTCAGGAACAATGAGCAAGATCTTTATTTACCTACCCCACACTCAGAATTAGTTAAAAGTTCAATATTATACAACTCGAAAAAAATGCACCTGCCAATTGAAATCAAATCCATAACATCATTTTCTTCATTTCTCAAAACATTGAACTCTTATTTACTAGACAAGGCTTTCTACGCCATAAACGAATTATATTTTGATAATCGAATTTGATCTTGTAAACACTGGTCTAATGTTTGCTATTGCTATATTTACCAATGACACCGAAATAAATTTATTTAGAGGTCATTGATATTTTTACTATAAACTATCTAAATATTTTTGAATATTATTTTTAAACGGTTTTATTTAGCTCGACCAGTACGGTATTTATTTATTTGTTTGTTTATTTGGGTCAAAATTAGAAATTGAAATTTAAGTACCTTCCTGTTGTCAGATTGATCTGAAATTTGGTGCACACCTT